AGCCTCTTTGCTCATCATCTTCTTTTGATAGAGCGGTAACGATTATTCTTGGTTGTCGTTCACAAATGAAGGCGATAATCGTTACGGATCCAAATAATTATGACACCTTCCGCACTTCCTATTAATCACCACATATGTTAACCGAACATATGTGCACAACGCTATCAACGAGTCGCGAGTTTGCTCACACTCGTTACGTTAAACTAAACTGAGCTCTGACTTAGAACGCGATCACATTTGAAATCCACAAGCATTCTAGAGTGAACCACAAATTCGCTTCTCGTTTCTCTTCAAGACCGCCCAAAGAGCTCTGAGAGTGGATTTCCATGCTCAATAGCTGAAAATCCGAAACCAAACACCTTCACGAGTAAGGTTAACTGTAAAGAACTTTCATTATAGAACAAGCTAAGTGTACTGACATTTATGAAAAACGAATAGTCGTTACCTTCCTCAGATATAAAAGGCACTTTTTCTCCCGCGTTTTGGATCAATAATAAAAAATATCCCCAACATTATAGTCGATTTCCAAAGGCGTATGTGGCGCAGTGGTCGGAGGCGCCCTGCAACACACACTGGAATCCATCCCCGTGCCCATCGCTCACCAAGCCTTTCATCCCTCCGGGGTTACCAAATTGGTACGAGACTTGTCTGAGAGGATTGCAACACTAACTCGATACATCGACAGCGTACCGCGAGTCATTGGAAAGGCCAGATATGCATTCAATCACCTCCAAATGATGCTTAATGAAGCCGAATGCATGGCGCATCCCTCAAGGATTGATCAACGTCGAGAGCTTTATCCTTCTATCTTCTCATATTCCATTTCCACTGCTTCGCTCTAAAATTTGGCAGATCAATTCCAACCTAATCGTTCCAGTACTTGATCGTTGAATGCAGCCAATCAGATTTTTTTCTCCACGAAAACAACCAAATCCAAAGAAAGCCGTGAACAAAGAACGGATGGTACGCTAATAGCAACGATTTTTGTGCATGGATGTAGGAAATAAAACAAAAGTGGCAGCACCTTTATTTTGCCAAAATTAATGGACGACAAAAATGTTTAGGTAAACTGCTTTGAACCCCCAATCTTATACAATACTGTAAAGTGAAACAGAAGCTTGACTAATAAGAAAAACCCATAATTTTGAAAAACATCGAGTTTTTCTCCAACACTTTTCTTTGGAAAACCTAACACCTACACACAATGTTCCACTAGTCGATTGGCCAGGGTGATGGATTTTTTGATGGTAGCATTTCCTGTCTGCGCCCTAACCTTCGTAGAAGATAGAACTACTTTTAGGAAATTTAAATGTTCATACTGAGATAGGTAGGTTAATTAAGTAAATATTATGTTATAAAGATATTACAGTAAGCTGAAGGTGAATTGACGTTTGCTTAGCTCAATGGCACTTCGTACGTCTACAATAAATTACCGTTACTATATTCTTTGATGTCCACCTTACTGTTATTCGTGATGAAGTCATTCGTGATGACATTTAAAAGAATGTTAACATTGGTGTGCGAGCATGAAATCGACTTATAGTAAAGTTGATTTCAAGGAGAGTTCCGGCGATGATCAACTCTATGAAAAGCACTACAGTGTGCAACACTACCGATCGGTTTTAGTGATAGCCAAAAGGCACTTTAGTGCTTTCTCATTGAAGACAATGAATGCTATTCGTTTCAATAAAGTGCACATTTCTCGATGAAAAACACTTGATGAACATAACTTTTGCCAGTCATTAATGAGTTGAATTAAATTGAAGTTTCCTTATTCGACATCCATTTATCTCGATGAGTCTTCCGCTTCCTTTTTTTCAAGGCCAACAGCTGCTACTTAGTAGTCAACATTGGTATGTGAGACATGTATATGAGTTCACTGATGAATTCATGTGTGCCTGTTGAACACGAATATCTCAAAAAGATGTTTCCCTAAAATATTCCTACGATTCTTGTGCATTCGTTTTCTTCCACGTTTTTCCTTGCAGTCGATTCTTAACATTAGTCTCCAGCTTTATCACTTAATACCGTACTATCCATTTGGACGCGTTTTGTTACGAAATCTCAGCAATCCCCTCCTTTAAACAGTAGCGACTATTACATAGAGACAGTCTTCCACATGAAAAAAACGCTTGAGTGATTACCGTGGACTGAGTCTTAGTATTTTATTAGGGACTTCATGACATAGCAGATCCCTTTGGTCTCATTAATAAATGTATAAAAAATATAAATGATGATGGAAAATCATCGATCCCTCCCTCTATTAAAGATCGTTCCACGTTCAGTTCATCTAACCGATCTAATGCGGTATGTTTTGAGTAGTTAACAAGGTGTACCATATGTGTATTGAATAGAATTATTAAAGGCACATGACAATGTCATCACTCTTAAAGGGACGGTCCTTTTAGACGCTACGCAGCCGCCCGTCGGCCTACGATAATTACTGAAATGGACACTGATTATAGGGCAAGTCAAAATGGACCACGTTATGGAACGTTTTCCTACCTCCTCTATTCTTTTACCAATTTCGACATCGAATTCCTTCGAAATAACTCCCTACTGTGATCTGTGTTGTTTTCTATGATCATCACTGTAACCATGAGCTGATTCGTTATCACGTTCTGTTCTTATATTCATTCCCACCTTATGGAGAATAGCTCTGTCATGAAAATAAGTCAGCAACTAAATCCTTTATCTGATCACTAACGCAAACTACTCAAAGAATTATGAAACCGTAGTTCTATACCTATAGGACAGAACTTCTCAATTTTACCACAGTAGGAAATTCTCTTCTTTTCTTTTCTCCTCGTGTTTCATTGTATGATCGGACTCCAAGACTGGCCACAAAGAAAATGGATCTTCTTAAGAAAGTTAGAAGTCTAGAGAGCAAATTGATATCACCGAACTTCTTGACGTTGAACTACACATCGTAATTTGGAGCAAATGAAAAAAAACCTGAAGCTGATGGTCTGAAATTTTACGACGAAAGTTTCAGAATAAAAACCGGTTGTGTTGTCGTAGACTACGATGCTCCTGTGAAACCGCATCTCCTTTAATTCTACTCTTTTCCCCTTTTTTACCTTCTTGGCTGTATGATGCTAACAGCGAGATCTAAATCAAATTATCTGATTAATGTGGATTGTGGAATTTTGGTTCGTGCAGTTTGTTGATATTCTCATTTTATTCGCTTGCTCATGGTGGTTTCGGTATAGATGAAATAAGAGACGAAGTCCCAAGAATGATGGATTCAATTTCATTTCCCAGAATCGTTTCCAATGACCATCATCATAGAATTCAGCCGACCCCTTCTATCGCTTTTCGACAGCGTGGCCCGAGTTCCGAGTGTGGCTCTTAATAGGCGGGTGTGAACATCGCCATCCAACAGGCTATGGAGCGTGATGAAACCGTGCGATAAGCGACGCGAGGCAGAATACTCCAGAAGGGCCACATACACTCAAATAATCCAGCCTTCATTCACCAACGCCCAGATTCATTGACATGATAAGAAATCATACACAGAAATACCGCGTATCATGTGATTAGCAGCGATGATGACGAGGCTAGACAGGAAGATTTTGCTACCGTTAGACTGAGGGTGACATCTAGCCAGGAGAATTTTCGGAGTGAAGATATTAATTAGCCCAAGCACTGAACAACTAAAATTACAAAACAGTATGAATTTACTCGACGATGAATTTTGCTTTGCTCTATCTGGCTGCACCGTTTGCGGCCTTTACTACGGACAGAATGTACAAAAAGTGAGGAATATCAGTAGTGTACGGAAATTCCAAGTCATCCAAACTCAAGTGTTAAGTTGAATGTAGTAGAAAAATTTACGACATAAAATTCTAGTTTCGGGCCAGATAGATATAAAATTCCAGTAATACCATGGCCTTACTGGTTCAATATTAACCAATGCATAGGGATTCCACCGCGAAGGAAAAACCATTGACGATCAGAGAAACAGCAGATAAATTCCTCAACTTTGGATTATGCCACCTCGGTTGGATACAATACACAACCTACGCGTATCCCTATGTAGCAGTTGCTGCTCAGGCTCTCATCTTGCTGAACCTACAGCAACTTTTGTTGTTATAAACAACAATACATCAAGCATTTCACCTCCCAGTATTTACATGTTCACGTTCCAGCTTCATTACATAAAACACAACCATGAATTTCCTGGATCATTTTTTAATACGCCGACTCCATGCTCATCAGGTCCTGTGCAACGTCTAGATCGTCATTCTTCGTCTAGACTTCTTCACATAATTTTCATTTAAACCACAATGCCCGTCATTCATACACTCGATTATTACGCGTGTGCATTTTGATCGAAATTATGCTAAATAGCTACCGCCATCACTTAATTACATCGTGCTCAACATTGAAAGCCACATTGTCGTTCAGCCCTCTTGGGAAGCTTCAGCTTGATCCAGATGATATCAAACATAGGTTTCCGGTAGTAATTAAGAAATGGTGCAAACATGCTGATGCTATTTCGTCGTCGACTCCATGGAAATTCTTAAAAACAAAGAAGCTGATTATTAGAAAGATAAAGGCCAGTTGGAGCTGAGGTCTTCCCATCAACGACACCAGTACACCGATGCTACTCACCTCACTACCATGATTAACATTTCATAATGACGTCAATCGTAATGGTACTACAGCAGGATATTTTGGTGTTTCTAGATACTACAATAGAATAACACTGAAAGCTCGGCTGATCGTTGATTGCATAAAAATGATATAGGGATCTGGAAATCACACAGTAAAGAACGAAAGCGAAAATAATCGTGAAGACTCACGACTCTTGTAGCAAACACAACTTGTACTACTAAGTATTGGAAATGCTTATCGGTCTCTTCTTGGTATTCTGTGGAGCATACTACTTCGTTATGGTTCAAAGTGCCTTCTAAAGATTAATTGCCTCACTAATTTTTAAAATATCAATGAAAAACTCTTAGTCCCTCATCAATCGCGGCAGTCGTCCAACTAATCTATGCTATCTGTAGTACGCATGTCACCGCTCGTACAGCGGCTTCTTTCGCGATTTCACGGGTCAGCGCTTGCACCGAAACACATACCACCTGCACGCAAGTGCAGACAATTATCGTGGTCCCTAGAGGACTACGGTAGCCTTTACTTCTGCAGAGGCGTTTGCTATGCTGCAGGTAAATTAAGCTCCCAGAATCGAGTGCCATATCGGACATGGATACTTCCAATAAAAACAATAGTACAACAATGGAAATTCATTGGCGATTAGCTTAAAGTAGATAAGTATGTTATAGTATGTTATATCATCAAGATTAAGCCAAGTATGAAAACAATTGAACAAAATCTATATTTAATCTATAAATTTATAACAGATTAGCAGATGGAGTACGTGACTATGAACCTTTTGTGGGAATATGTAGAAATTCTTTAATTGTCTCACGTAATGAGCCACTACGACTAAGAGAATTCTTCGATGAGGCCAGTGATTCTTGTGAACCGATTGAAGGTTGCCGTGATGAATATCTCGATGAACTCGATTCTAAATAACAATCGATTATATCTGCAATATAAGACCTTTCTCTGTGCCCCTTTCTTCGCTAAAAACGTCAGGAGCCAAATCCTTTCGTAACTTCCATTAACTAACCAGCCATTTACGAATTTGAACGCCAATCTTGTGAAATGCCATACTGGGAACTCAAAACAGCGTTTCGGAGAGGACTTGTTAAAGCGGGTCCCATATGTTCAGCAACACTCCCTCCCTACTGATTACATACGTAATGTTTTCGTTAACACCATCAACTATAAACAATGCAAGGGCACATGCTAATTCACCGACGCCTGCGTCCACATATGGTCGCACCCACATTTGGCAGCTGCACAAACTTTGCAACATTATGCGATAAATCCATATCTTCGTCTCTAAATCAACTTTTTTTTCCAGCCTGTTTTGCAATTCTTTTGTACCATCAAAACAATGTGCAATTCACGAAAAACTGCTTAAGAAAAAGCGAATGTCATAACGGCTACGTAGTGGCTCATATAAACCGTTAAAGACACTCACTCGTTTACATTTAAGCAGAATAATCACTGGAGCTAGGAACGCAGTGAAAAGGGAGAGTAGGCAGCAGTCACGTGTTTTTCTAGTCCCAATTCTTTGCTAGAAAGTTAAGTTAACGAGATTTTCAGAAAATGTTCCACAATTCACCAACTGTGATTCGCGATTCGAAAACTAATGCAACTGTTGAATATAGCTATCACCGCACTTCCCATTATATTAACGCTTCTGATTAGGAGGATCAGCGTCATACTAACGTAAGACATACAATGGTGCCCCCTCTCTCTTTTAATTCGACACAATAAAACTCATCCTAATGCTACCTAAGCACATGTTTCGCATCTCATTAATCACTGCTCGCACTTGGGTACCAGTATTAATCGACTTCACTTCTCGATGAAGATCGATCAGTCGACAGCGTGTCTCAGCTTATGAGACACAGCAATAACAATTTTTATTTTGAATTAAAATTTAACATCTAGCTCAGTGATCACAACACCCAAACCGAACGGAACTATGCTCCAAATACCTTTGTCCTAGAAAGTTCTAGACCACAGATGTGTTCTAAAATTAATTTAGTTTAAAAGTTTAATATGATGGATATATGATATAAACGGTGAATCAAAATACCTTTGTGATTGAAGAAACGTTATGATCTCTAAATACGTCAGCTAGTTCTCCTTAAGATGTGACTAGAACCTCTACATTCCGTGGTTCTTAGTAGATCCTCACCCCTCAAAGTTGTCGCATTTATCAAACTCTCTCTCTGTCTGTATGTGTGTATTTCACATCGATTCAGTGCTAATCACGAAGTGTGAGCAAATAGATCGCATCAGCCGCAATTCAACAACCGCATCCACAGCGCGACAACATTGAGCGATACTAGTCGTGTTCCACAATTGTAAGCGACTTTGGCCGGAAAACATAAACACTGCATTTCAGATATTCGTCCATTATTGGAATGAAGGGGTTGTTGCCACTCAGTCTTTAGACTGGATTGTAAGGCCTGCTCTAGGAAGCAAACCTCCATATTCAGAGAAAGAAAGAAAACAAAAACGAAGGTAGGCGAATGAATAAGCAAACAAACAAACCGAAATAGATCAATGGATGAGGCATGTCATCGTATTCTGGATAGCAGAGCCAATCAGCATAGTATTCATACGTATACCCAAGAAGATCATGAATCGTTGTGTCAACGCCTGAAAAATACAAAATACTTTCGTTCGCACTAAACAAGTGACAAAGTGATATTCCAGCATATAAAGAACTTCATTTTCCCCATAACTTAACAAGTGGAGATCTGATGTTTATATTTTATATATGTAACAAGCACAGGAGGGCGCATGTGGCGCAGTAGTTGGAGACGCCACTGCGACACACACGTGGAATCGATTCCGGTCCCCGTGGCCCACCAAGCCTTCCATTCCTCCGGGGTCGGCAAAGTGGTTACCAGACTTGTCTGGGAGGATAGCAGCACAGGCTCGATAGATCGGTAGGCCACTGCGAGTCATTGCAAAAGCCAGATATGCATTCAGTCACCTCCAACGATACTTAATGAAGTCGAATGCACGGCGCATCCCTCAGGGATTGATCAATGTCGAAAGCTTTATCCTTTTTTATCCTAACTAGCACAGGATTTTTCTCCGTATAATACTAGCTACTGTAAAAACTCCTTGCAGACATTAGCTAACTGTCAGTGCACCTCCACAGACGTCTTTCTTTCATCTTCAAGGCGCTCAAATTGCCAAAACCGTAATTGGAAGGCATTTTATGTAAAGGCTCCATTATTGCTATCGTAGCAATCAATAGTGATCTGTTAGCCAGCTTTTGATGCACCCATCCTATATGTTTGCTTATCTTTCATACGTACCGAATGTTGTCAATACGTTAAGTGATATATCGTTAAGTAAGCGTTAAGCACTATAAGAAATCCTGACACGGTGGTGTGTACGGTAGCGCCGCGCCGATTGACCGGTGTTAATCTATTTGCTAAAGCGCACCCGTTACTGTCAACACCAGCGGATAGCAAGCTAAACGCTGGTTCTAAGCGCGCCGCGCTACGTAGCGTGAAGCTCGATCAGTGTAAATATAACGCATTAATAGGAACGTAGTCGATTAGCGTTAATTCAAATTATTTCATACCATTTATCCGCTTTTCAATTACAAACTTTGTATCTCAAAGTGAAGCAACGTTGTTACGCACTAATCATTTAAGACAACCTAAGCAAAAATTCACATCTGACTAAAATCAGAGCAGCTTTATAACCTAATAAAGCGCTATCTCTCTTAATCTTCCTTACGTAGAATATTATTTTGTAGTGCACATTCTTACTCTAATCTACTTACCATATTCCTCTATGAGAACTCGGACCATTTCTCGATCTTGATTTTGTGCAGCCAAATGAAGTGGTGTATATCCAGACTAAAATTAATCATACATATATAGAATCTCAGTCGTCAAACCAACACCACAATATTAGTTACTTATGAAATAATCGAATTCCACCATAGTTTCACAGAGCCATCTGTACTGACATAATAGAAAAGAAGGACAAAACAATATATCTATACAGCATATCAGGAAGTAACCGGCTAACACATGAGTGAATTATGCAACAATACTATACTGCTCTTGTAGACGACATCATGGAACCTGGAGTTGTAGAGTAGAGTTTAGACATAGAGATATTGTCGTGTTACATTAGAAAGTATTTCGGACAACTTGATCAGGACCACGACTTCCCACTCACCTGAAGCCAATGGCAATATTTCTTTGCTATTGAATGGATATCGGTCATCTCACGATCAATGTTTTGTCTAATGTTCAATTTTCTTATTGCACTTTCAAGGGACCGTCGAACAACAAGTGTTCCATATAATCTTACCATACAAGGAAAACCTCTTTAACCCGTAAACAGTAACAAAAACCGAGTACAAAGTGACTGCATTTCTGTCCGTACTTCAAGCATGTGTTATTTAGCTGTTTTGATTAATCCTTGTAAAACATACCCGTGTTGTAGCATCGAAATTTGCACCTTCGTTCTTCAGTAATCTCAGGAGATCATAATGTTTTCCTAACGTCGCGATGTGTACACCAGAGAAGTTCAGATGTAGTGGTGGCACGTAATACACAAGATTAGGCTAAATAGAATAGATATTCTCGATATTAGCTAGCAAAATTTCCCATCTGTAAAAATATTTACATGAAGATCCAACAGCTTCTTACAACCAGTTAGGTCACCTTTACGACAAGCCTTCAGCCAAGCTAAATGTTCTGATCTCGGACCTCGACAATCGGAACTCGAATCCGAGCTTTCGTTCACTTCTTTCAGCTTTCTTAAGACTTTAGACGTTTTTTCCTTAAAAAATAAAACATCTTCAGTTCAACATAAGTACTCATTACTCAGGATAAGAAAACTGCGTAGTCCGTTTTTCAAGCTTAAAATGTAAAAGATAACTTTTGTAGAAATTCTTATCATCGTTCTTATTCACCACGTTAAGAGCTTAGTTTCCATCAAAACGTGTGAAAATATTGACATTAGCTTCCTTTTCAGACGATAACCAATGCTTTATCATCCTAACATAAAGTCCGTCATTCCTAGTGGTATAAAATGTAACAATATCCAGCACGAATTCCAGTTCAGTGTTCGGAAATTGTATCATGTTCTTCGGTTTGACCGTATTCTATACGATATGCTACAGTTTACTATTGTCGCTCGCTGTAACGTCACCTATACTTCTCCTTTACCTGCCTTGATATCCAAGCATCGAAAATTAGTCCTAGAATCTTCCTTGGTGTGGTAATCATCAATTCCCATATTTCACAGATGTACCTAATTCGCCTACGATATGCTGCGGACTTAAATGGTACCCCTAGTGTCCCCTTCACCAGCGGCAATCGCTAGCCTATATTGCGACGGCGATAATCGCTTGCTTATACCCCACTGTCATTTCTCGGATGAATCCTCTTACGTCGCCGCGACCACATTCAACTCCAGTTCGTCAAGACGATCGTCTTCATTCAGAGCTTTCAATGTGGTGCGATAATCGGATACCACAATGAATTAGACACATCGAATCCAGTCACCAAACAAGATCACTAAAACTTTTCATTGGTGGGAACATCGCGTGCAGTAATCCACGCGATTCGACACATTTGCAACAAAAAAGACCTTGACTGAATTGGCTTATTTCTCCATTTCTTGGACTTGGTCAACAAGTACCGCAAATCAATTTAGTATACAGGCCTCTTGAGTTATAGAATTATATAACGCCTAGTCTATACGTTAGTGAACCTATGCTGAGACATTCATGTGAAACATTCACCAACGCTGTTTCAAATCTGCAACCTATGAAAGGTTACGAAGGTTCACAGAAAAGTGAAGCGATACTAAACAACTGAACCACATGACTCAATACTGATATCGAACCACTTGATTTCCATCTTAACGTAAAAAATGCCAATGAATAACGTCACTCATTTCATGGATGGGTTGAAAGTACACTTCCGCTTAAGTGTTACGGTATACCCGCTTAGCGTGCAATATCAACATAAGACGGTTGTCAATGGTGTAACCGGTCCACGACGATTTGTTCTGACATGAATGCAGCAATACAGCTACCGTAATCGAACCGAATCACAAACAATTCTGTGTGCATTTGGACAAAACACAATCCACAGAGCTACTGACAGATTTTGTGTACTACAAATACAAACGAAAATAACACCGCTTACTTCATTCAGAGGAGATTTTCGGAAATAAAATGGAACTTAAGTGAAACCAATTCGATTAAAAATGTCTTAATTGATAACAATATTTTCCATACCTAACTTTGGGAGTAAAAACTTTGGCTTTTAATACAATTAAGTAGCTTCCTCCATGACATTTTCTAGAGGTATATCACTGACTTCTTCCTACGGAATTTCATTAAGCTGCTTATACTGTAATTTGTGGAATCGGTTTCCATAACAACTCCCTTAACAAGCCTCTTCTTCATATGAATTTCACTTCTGTGCATCTTTCTATTCATTTCACCAGCAAAGACAACACAGCATAGGTGCTCACCACTGCACTTGCATAACCGAGTGGTCAAACTTGATAGATGCGTTGCATACTTATTTGTGAAACATGAAATAATGATTTGCGCACTGGCGCAGGAAGCTTTCTAAAGATCAAATTTGAAATCAGTGTGTTATCGAAATCACGCGTATAGTTAAATGCAATGGCAATTCTGTGAGAGATTAATCAGCATTGTGAACTTGAAATCTTATTTCACTTCTAGACCCAATGTCCTAGTACAACATAGCGGCAAATACTTGAAGCATCAGACATTAGCAGTATAGCCCAAATAGTGCAATTAGATACTCACCGAAAGCGGCAATCAACCGGAAAAGATATTCGGCTTAGACCAAGGCTCTGTGTGCCAGGAGCGTCAATAACCGCCAGCTTTTTCTGCGTCTCATTTACCACACGTTCCTTTCACATCTACAGTCACTGCCATCATATCATCTGCTCTCCAAGCTACGGTCAGCACATAGGAAACCGTAATCCAGCAAGACGACAAGATCCGCTCCCACCGCCGAATTAATGTCACAACAGCTTATGATGAGACGTACAGGCGGCACCTTACAGCTACGACTACGAACGAATCAACGCGATTTCGACTATTCGCGATGACAGCAAAAGTAACGCCGACCACTATCACGATCTCCATCTCGGCCATGCAGAAAACGTAGTCCTAATTAACATGAGAAAAGGTCTTTGAACTAGTGATCACCATGGACAGTCTCGACCACAGCCAGCGATCTCTTAGACGATAAGAATAACCGCATATCTGTCAACAACACCCCATATAAATGACTTAGGTAAGCGATAAGATGTAGTAGAACAGATGTACTGATGGTTTTCCTATGAATTTATAGCCGACAATTTTGCTTCGACCATTGAGCCATAGCTCATCTTTATGAAGTAACCACCACAAGGAGCAATGAATAAGATTATAGATATATTCTTGAGGTTCGCATTAGACGCGTTCTTGCACCATCGTGCCACCCACTAACTTGCCACATTCATCAAGCGTCTGAAGACACGATTCAATCACCGACGCCGCGATTACCACCACCCGACTGTCTAGTGCGTAACAATTATGTGACATTAAATTGCGTACCGTTCGAATAGCACTCAAACAAGGGCCGCGCAACTGAATTGCTCCCTTTTTCATCGTCATGCCATATGTAAAAACGACGAACATTATGACGCTCATCGTCTTTAGTGGAAGCCGCCACATCACAGTGGTCATTGCGGTGGCGACTAAGGTGGTCCGCATGACAGACGACGATACCGTAATCGAGATTGAGATGCGTGTTCAAAAAGGCGAATCAAAAAGAATAGAGGTATTGTGAAATGGTGACCTCACTTCGCGGAGTCTTAGGATATCCACCACCATAGAGAAAGTGCAACGAATTTCACACATAAACTCTCTAATCATATTTCGATGTTCTTCTTCAATAAGCAGACACGAGGTTGTTATTATAGAATTTATAAGGATACAATAGCTGACATTTCGGTGGTTTCCAGGCTCTGAAGAAGTCGAAACCGTCGAAACCGTCGAAACGTCAGCTATTGTGTCGTAATAAATTCTAGAATACCAACCTCGTGTCTGCTTATTGAAGAAAAACATCGAATTATCAATCAATGCCGAGGTTAACAGAACGTCGACCTTGGGAATCTCTAATCATATGCACAATAGAAATCATACTCAGACAAATTTTTACAGCAGAGCGTTTGTGATTCGCAAAAATTTACTATAAACAATGAATAGGTGCATTTTTCTAGTTCTCGCCGATATATTTCCCTGTACCGCAAATAAAACATAACAAGGCTTTAAACTAGCTATAGACTTCGTTATGGCTTCCCCAAAAAAAAAACACCAGATATGTCGAAATTTCAGCGACTATAACAAAATGCTTTGGTCTTCTCTTCACACAAAACCTCGATGATTGCTTATATCGCGTCGCCGTATGGTGGCAAAGCATATTGTTATCATAAGCCATTCGTTCCTTCTCTCTCTCTCCCTCCCTCTTACACTCACACAAGTGGCTAATACTCAAAACCAATGAGGCAGTTATTATGGCAGCCTGCACGTGTTTATAATGTGTTATATTAGACCCGATGCGATAGAGCAGCCGGTGTTGACGACGTAATGATGGATCAGACAGTGTAGAACGGTAGTGAGCACAGAGCTTTGGGGAGACGCAGTTGTCCCTCAGATTGTCGCAAAAACCGCTTACCACATGGCATCAAAACAATGACACTATCAATCACAACACACATAAGCCACACCTAGACGACCAGGTCCTTAATCGCCCATTTGCAGCTGATTCGGGTCAATGAATGCATATCTGTATCTTTCAAACAATAAACGTTCTCCAAGTGCAATTTCAACAATAGTGTTATTTAAGGAACCCAAATGCAGCAAATTCTGCATTAGAAGTGGAATGAGAAAACGCCGTCACCTTTTTCACCCTAAGGACTGTGAAGTAGCGCTCAACTCTCTACCGCTTTACGTTAAGGCACAGTAGCTCTGTTACAGCAATGATGAATAATTCAACGAAAACCTAATCCTAGTTCACTCTATGGTCGATTCCAGAACGAATCACAGCGGGACGACTACATTCAGTTCTCAGCGTGTGGAATCAGAGCGCAAACACAAACGGCAACGCACGCAACTGTCATAGTACATCATCATCGCCAGAGCTATGGGATCCTAGCAAACTGCAAATGCTGACATGATCGAATGGTGATTATGAGTGGACTCATCGAACTGGTATTCATCACGTTATCAACGTCTACAGTAAAACTCAATTTCACAAAACAGACAGAAAAATAATGCGATCAAACCCTATAAATGTATTCAGAATTTGCTTAGACTCCTTGAACAATCGATACTATTGAAATTCTGGTTCTATTACTCAGGAAAATATCATTAAAACAAGCTTCTTGCATTTTTTGGCCCATTTGATCATTTAATTTGCCTTCATGGAGCAACATAGTGCCCAAAAAACCACATTTTTTCTTTGCTTCACGCACTCCTAATCAGATGCTCCACTTTTGCTAGCAATATATTACTTTATATTCCCTGAAATATATACGAGTTCGTTGGTTCGATTCCATTCCTTGGACTCACCATACCTTTCATCCTTACTTGATCGGCTAATTGATAGCAGACTTTTGTGGGAAGATAGCGGCACAGACTTAGTACATCGGTAGGATACCGAAATTCGTTTTACAGGCCATGTATGCATCCGATCACCTCCAACGATGGTTGGTAAAGTCTAATGCATGGTGTCTCCGTTAAGGATTGGTCAACGCGAAATACTTTATTCTTGGTCTTAAATTTCTTTTAAAACTTCGTTTTCTCCCAAATCATCATAATTGTTTTACTACTGGAACCAAAGCATTCCTATGCCTTTTTCTCACACTTCACAAATGTTTGCACCCCTTCTTTTCCGCTACTTCTGATGCGTATTAAATTCTCATGGTCGAGTTCTGTCAACTCTCGACCGTGGGTGACTTACGTGTTCGACAATGCTATCGCCTTCTCACACTCACGAATTATTCGCTAGCAGTGCGTAAAAGCTCTTCACAAGGCGATCCAATCTCGTGTTCGTAAACACCATAGAAATCTAGGCGGTTATTTATGAGATATTACAGTAGTGTCGTAGTGATGAGCATGGTTTTCCAGAAAAATCTAGTCGTTTTAGGGCAAATCATATGTTTACTCAAGCCTCGTTCTCTTAATTCTCAGCGAAAGAGTCACGGTGGTACCTACCATACAGACACTATTCTATAAAGTAACAATATCTATTAATTGTCCTATTAACAACAACTACAAAGTAAATTCATCATTAACTTAGTGGTATAACAATTCTATTTCACGCTTCCGTTAGTAGCAGCAGATTGCAATGGCTGTTAGCATTAGGCTTTACATTAAACTTCATTCCCGAGGGAAAACGCGCCTGCTCTAGGATGTCCTTAATTAGCCGGGAACCGAGAAACCGATACCGTATATTACACGCGATATCCTTGTTATTGAGAAATATTTCGTAAAAATTTACTTATAGAATAACAATTTTGATGTCGAAAGGAATACTTTCACATTGCATCGAACTTCACCATTAATCGATTTTTGTGCAACTTGAGCGAATTCTACGAGTGTTCTCCTATAAAAAAGTGTAACAGAATCTTACAAAACAGTGGGTAGTCAATATCATCTGGACGATGCTCTTTCATAATTCTTCCTTTTCAGTATGTACCATTCTGCCTACAACCAGCTATTTTAGTTATATAACATCTGCTTCCTCGGCATATATAAATGTAGCAAGGTGGACATTGAGTCCATATTAGAAAATTTCGATGAATATGATACTCTTTTCACTAATGTAGCCAAGCATGTTCATACTAGACTCCGTCTACTAAGTTGCTGAACTCCTAGTTAACCATACAAACAAACGCATATGCAACCACTCACCCACCCGCCCACCCACACACACACACACCACACACACACACAC